ATCATTTATTTGTTATTATTATCTGGATCCAGCCACAGACTCCAGGTCTCCAGTCTGGTTTTACGGGCTTTTGGGGTTCAGTGTTTACTGACGGATGAATTGCTCCATTTTTGGATTTTTTCTGGATCTCAGAGGCTCTTTTGACGCTTTTGTGCAGCAACACATGGACACTTTCTGTCCAGGTTTGAATTTAAAACCACATTTAGCAGCATAAATACACACAAAAATGCTCCAGTTTCATCCAAACTCGCTGCAAAACGATTTGTGCACGTTTAATTTTTATTTTTCAACTTTTCAATGTGTGTAATTTTTTTACTTTATTTTTATCTTCTCCTGTTTTTTTTATTTTTCCATTTAAAATCAGTGCCTTTCTTTGCATATTTCCACTTTCAATGGGGATTTAACAGCTAACAGGTAAATTCTCTGTGAAGTAAAAATGTGTTTTGTCCTGCTGAGAGCTGCTCCCATAAAAATAATAAAACTGAATTCCACCAAATGCCTCATCTATGAGTTCACTAACCAACGCGAATTCTCGCGTTTGTTCGTTCTCAGTTTTGGAACCTGAATTCTCTGTAACTGAGTCGATCAGCGTCCAGTTGCTTCAGCTCTCTGCAGGAATCCTTCCGATTTGTCCGCAAACCTGAGCAGCAACCTGTCGGCTGGAGGCCGTCCGCTCGCGACCCGGCGCGCACGCGCCTGACTCCGGCTCCGATTCCAGGACTGTGCGCGACGCTTCAGCTGCCTCGGCCGCTTTAACCAGCTAATAAATATGAAAACAGCAGGTTAAAACTTGAGCCTGAAAGGATTATAGACCTCTATAGAGTCCCCTGAAAAGCCCCCCAGACCTCATAAAGCCCGATGTGGGGCCATAAAACAGCGCCGAACAAAGCGGAAGAAAGGGCGCTTTTTCACGCATAAGGGGTTTTCTCAGGGGCGCATTGAGGCCTCGCGCCGCCCCCCCCCCCCCCCCCCCCCGCTCCGCCCCGCCCCGCCCGCAGATTATCCGCCCGGCTGGGAGCGGCAGGTGCGTGCGCCGGGCGTGGGGGCCGGTGGCCGGCCAGTGGGGGGGTGTGGGTGGGGGGGGGGTTTGGGGGGGGGGGGCGGAACTGCGCAGCTGCCAGCAGGAATGTTTCTGTTGTCACTTCCATTTGACTTGCTCTTTTTCTCCACTGCTTGGACGGATGCCGGCCGCCGGCCCTCCGGCCCCCAGCCCCGCCCCCCCCCCCCTGGCCGTGGAGAGGGGGCTAAACGGTGACAACCCTCCCCACAAAGGTGACAAGCGGCGCGGGCGTCTCAGACCCAGCGCCGTGAAATCGGGATTAAACTGATAAGCGAGAAGAATGATGCAGATCCCACTTCTCTCTGTTGGGTTAACTCAGTGTTTAACCCCCAGAGGCGGCTTTCATGCAGGTTATTGGATTTCGGAGGCTTCACATATGGTGGCCTGTAAATAAAGCTGGAGCTCTTTAATAATGCAGCTCATGAATTCATCCAGCGAAATGACAGAAAGGAGGCAGATTCGGGGCTAATCTTCTGTCAGAAGCCCCTGGATCTCCCTTATCTCCCCCGTCGTTCCAGATAGAGTCTGTCAGAGAGTCCAGGTCCTGCTGACCCGCTCCGCCTGGAAGTGGCCTCCCCGCTCCGAGCCCCGGCCTCTAATCTCAGCCTCTCAAACTGTGGCCCCGGGCTCCTCGTGGCTCCTCCACATAATCCCCTGGAAGTGTGCGGCGCTGCTGATTCCTCTGAGGCTCCACACAAAGCTTTTCCCAGCGTCCTCCAGCTCCCGGGGATTAATGCCCCCCGTTCCGAGGAGGCAGGAGGAACCCAGCCGCCACTCTGAGGCCGCCCGGAGTCCAGAACCCGTCTGAGACCCGGACCAGGAAGCCGGAACCGGTCGGTGGATCCAGGAAACAGCAGCCGGCCGGCTCTGCATTTGGTAGATAAACAACACCAGTAAAAGACATTTAGTCTGCAGTAATTAGAAGAAGCTGGAGGCTGGAGGCAGACGGAGCTCTGAAAATGAGGAAACGGCTTCAGGAGAAGGAGCGCTGCTGGGAGCTGAGGCCGCCTCACTTCATTTAGTCCCCGTCTGGGCGTCTGCTGCAGGGAGCCGACCGGCAGAAGCCGCTTTGGTCCCAACCGTTAAGAGTTTAGGATGGAAAAACTCTGATTAGGAACCTTTTTCTATTTCCGCATCCAAAAACCAGTTCACAGATTCCTTTTCAGTCTGAGTTCAACTTAATGAGGCAGAAATTTAAATTTCCTCTTTTATTTCCCCTCCTGACTCTCTGAAATTATTATTATTATTTATCTATTTATATTTTCACACATTAGTGAACAAAACTTGGAGCGTTTCATTAGTTTCAGCATAAACAGAAACACTCTCACAGGTGGAGCAGCATCTGTGACGGAGGCTGCTCTGAGGCCTCTGCCCTGCTCTCAGCCTCCAGGGGGAGCAGCCACGAACGAGGAAGAGGAGCAGCCATGAATGAGGAAGAGGAGCAGGGGAACAGCAATGAATGAGGAAGAGGAGCAGCGTGGTGGCATCTTTCTGAGGGAACCAGGAGGGAAAAGCAGCTTCCACCAATGACAACCTGAAGAGGAGAAGTCCTCTGCTGCTTCTGAGCAGATCTCCTCCTGCTCCTTCTCCTCCTGTTCTTCCTCTTCCTCCTCCTCTTCCTCCATCTCCTCCGCCTGTTCTTCCTCTTTCTCCTGCTCCTCCTCCTCCTCCTCCTCCTCATCGAGTGGTGTGATAAACGGGTAGATAATCATCTTTTCATTAAACTTTCAGCCCACTGACTTAAATATTCAACACCCCAATTACAAAGAGGGCGATGATGGATGGATGGATGATAGATGGATGATGTGTAGATGGATGGATGGATGGATGGATGGATGGATGGATGGATCAATGGATGATGTATAGATGGATGGATGGATGGATGGATGGATGGATGGATGGATGGATGGATGATGGATGGATGGATGATGTATAGATGGATGGATGGATGGATGGATGGATGGATGGATGATGGAATGATGGATGGATGCCAAATGGATGGATGATGGACGGATGGATAATGGATGGATGGATAAATCATGGATGGATGGATGATGAATTAATGAAGGATGGATGGATGATAGATGGATGGATGGATGATGGATGGATGGATGGATGATGGATGGATGGATGGATGATGTATATATGGATGGATGATGGATGGATGATAGATGGATGGATGATAGATGGATGGATGGATGGATGGATGATAGATGGATGATGTATAGATGGATGATGTATAGATGGATGGATGATGGATGGATGGATCAATGGATGGATGATGGATGGATGAATGGATGGATGGATGGATGCCAAATGGATGGATGGATTATCTATAGATGGATGGATAAATGATGGATGTATAAATGATGGATGGATGGATGATGGATGACGGATGGATGGATGACAAATGGATGGATGATGGACGGATGGAATATGGATGGACGGATGGATAAATCATGGCTGGATGATGAATGAATGATAGTTGGATAGAGAGCAGAGCATAGATGTGTCTTCTGAGTGCCACAAACGGGGTGCATGCGTGTCAGAGTGCGCGCAGGCGTGCACGCGCGCGTGTCAGTGTATTAGCAGTCACAGCACTGAGGCCCAGCGGCGATTCCTGTGTGAGCTAGCGATAAAGGGGGAACGGGAGGAAGTATAACGGGGGAGGGGGGGTGCAGAAAAAGAGCAGAGGAACTTCCTCTGGATCACGTCCCCACTGGTCTTCATCCCTCACACATTACTCTTCCTCACCCCCCCACCCTCACCCCCACCCCCCCATGAAAGAGTCTTGGCAGGGTAATTAAGAATGGCCTCTAAACACAGGAGCAGGCAGGAACGCTCCAGATGAAAGTAAATGATTAAAATAATTACAGGCTGAGTGCTGACGAGCCGCCGTGTGGGCTGGCCGCCGGACATTTGGCGGTAATTAGATAATTAATCTGAATGCAAATGATGAGCCCTAACGAAGCAGCCAGGCTGAACCAGCGACAACCGCCGACAGTGAAACGCGGGGAGGGGGGGGAGTGGTGGTGGGGGGGGTGCGCGAGTTTGGGGGAGAAACACATGAATATGAGAGAGAAAAGCTCCAGAACCAGCGGCGGGAACAGACGGCTCCAAACACTCCGCCCCGTTTGCGGTTTTTCCGCAGACGCACCGAGGCTCGTTAGAGGCACGCGGCTCCTCGGGAGGCGCGCGCGCCCCGAAACGCGTAAACAAACTGTGGGTTTACTCATTATTCCGCCGCCCCGCTCCGCCTCACGCGCCCCGCAAACGGAGGTAAACAGCTCGCTTTTCAAACAGGTGCAGCTTCACCTGTCAGCTCCCGGGCTGTTACACACAGTTACAGCAACCGAGGACACAAAGAGACACACAAAACAATAACCACAGACACACAAACCAACAACCACAGACACACAAACCAACGATCACAGACACACAACATAACCACAAAGAGACCCAAAACAACAACAAAGAGACACAGAGAGAGACACCACACAACCACAGAGACACAAAACAAAAAGAGACACAAAACACACACATACACAAAACAACCACAGAGACACTAAACAGCCACAAAGAGACACAAAACAAGTACAGGCACAAAACAATTGCAAAGAGACAAAAAATGGACATAAACAAAACAGCCACTACGAGACACAAAACAATCACAAAGAGACAAAAAACAACTATACACACAAAACGACCACTAAGACACAAAAGAGACACAAAGACACAAAACAATGAGTCACAAAACATCTACAAAGAGACACAAAACAGCCACACACAGACACAAAACACGCACATACACAAAACAACGACAAAGTTACACAAAACAACAACAAAGAGACACAAAACAACAAAGCGACACAAAACAACCACAAATAGACACTAAACAACGACAGAGACACAAACCCCCCTCAGAGGAACTATTTACTCCTGTTCTCCGGCCTGAGACTGGACTCACACCTCTCTGATGTGCGTTTGGACCACTTCAGACCCAGCAGACCTGTGGGACTTCCTGCTTTCTGGTGAACAAACTTCTCACTGTAATCGGAGGCCTGAGAGCAGCTCATCTGTTTAGTGTCGATCACACAACCGCACCCAGCTGGCGGCACCCGAGCCCCTGGTCACCCGAACACCAGGCCAAAGGCACATTCAGCCACAGAAAGGACAAAAGACCCACTGGAGGAACATCTGAGCTAATCTGTTTTATTCAAGAGGCAGAAACATAAATGGAGACTAACATGGGAGGAAAACATCCAAAAAAACCATGATGCTCATTCTCTGTTGAACCTGAGCTCCACATAATAATAAGCCCACATGTGATTACAGTTTGTCCTCATTGTGGCAGCTGGGAGTAAATAAAGTCATCTCAGTCCGGCCAAACGAAAGTAATCTCAGTCCGGCCAAAAGGGGCTCCTGAAGACCAGCTATCCCCAAAAAGCCCCAGACTTTGTTTACAGGCCTCAGCTGATCCGGATGACAGCCTCATGTGAACAAATCTCCACTAAAGCTGGAAAAACACAAGTTTTGTCCTTCAAAGTCAGACATTTATGAGGGTGGTTTCTGGAAGCAAAGTCGTTTTCTATTGATATAAAAACCACGGAGGGGGAAAGAAGCCGTCCGGCCGTCGCTACTCCACCACCAGCTCGAAGCCCTCCGCCTCCTCGAACTCGGCGTTCATCTGGGCCGCCAGCGCCTCCAGCTCCGTGGAGCCGATCTGCCGCACCTTCCGCCGCCGCCGCCGCTCCTTGGCCACGACCACTCCGGGGATGTTGTGGTCCGGCTCCGGGAGGACGGAGCTGACCTCGTCCGCGTCGAGCTGGGACATGAAAGAGTTCAGACCGGAGAGGGAACCGGACCCCTCCAGGGCGGTTCTGGACAGCTCAACCCTCCGGACCACCTCCGGCGTCTGGAGCTTCTCGAAGCCGAATAAGTTGTCTCGGGAGTCGGGGCTGTGGATGGACTTGTCGCTGAGCCGGCTGTAGGACCGGCGGACCTTCTGCGACCACACCGCCACGTCTGGATCTGTGGGTGGCGGCTGGGGACTGGGGGAGGCCGGCGGGGAGGAGGGCAGGATCGGTGAAGGCATAGCGGGCTGCCGGTGCTTCTTCTTGCCGGAGGAAGTGGAGGCCTTGCAGTTCGGGACCGGATCAGGCGTGGAGATCTTGGGTTTTTTCTGTTGGATGACTCCGGACCGCCTTGGTGTGTTCTCCTTGTTTTGCTCCGACGGCGCGACTGTTTTTCTGGGCGCTATCTTCCTCACTGTTATGGAGCGTTTCACGGTCGCCGACGGCGCCATTTTGTTGTCACTTTTCCGCGGAGAACTGAACCGCGGAGACCGTCTCCTGTGCGGGTCAAGAGGCTGGTTCGCCTCGGCCATCACGCTGCGAAGCGTCCTTCCACTCATGCTGAGCTCAGCGCGGTAAAAAACAAAACAAAACACGTATTTACCGTACAGGAGAGTCACAACAAACCCCACACTGTCAAACACCAACAGCGCAGCGTTCAAAATTCCCCGCCCGAGTCGCGTGGTGATGACGCAACAGTGACTTGGCTGTGACGTACACGTGAAGCGCCAGCTAGCTGAAACTTTTGCTGTGTAATCTGAACAAGTGAGGCTCAGGCACGAGTGAGGTTTCACCCTATTTAATTAATATTTCACATTTGGACTGCTGAACACGATGGAGTATCTCATTGGGATTCAAGGACCTGATTTCGTCCTAGTCGCTGCTGATAATGTGGCTGCTAGCAGCATTATTCAGATGAAACATGGTACGTTAGCTCGTTAGCTTAGCGATAGCTGCTCTGCCGGTAGCTTTCATTGCCGTATTCAGGGTTCACATTTAGCTAAATGTAAAACTGTTTAATTGTTTTTGAAAATAGCAAGTTAATGATTTCCTTTAAAGAACAGCGTAAGATTTACAACATTGTGCCTTTGTGTCAATATAAAGGTTTATAAAGTATATAGTCAACTGTTAGTTATGCTAATATCAGCTAACACGAGCTAAATATGTCATTTAGCTGCAGCATAATTTGATAAAGTAACGGACTCTCTGTGTTTTTCAATCTAACTTCATCATGCCCAACACGAAAGTGTGATCTAAGACAATTACGCCTTATGCTCTTTTGTTTTCGTGCTGTAAGACGGTTAGCGTGAGCAGGTAGCCTGGCGGCGAAAGTGAAAGTCAGGACTGGTTGAAGGAGTCTGCTTCTGTGTTAGAGAAACGTTTACTGGATTTCTCCTTAGTCAAAGCACTGGCTTTAATGTGCTAATATGCACTCTATTTAATGTTGAAAAGTGCCTGCAAAATCAGGCAGATTTCCCCATTTTTCTTCATAGGAATCAACATTATTATGTCATCCCAGTAATACCTTATTGAGTTCGACACAAATTTAGAATCTTCACATTCCCATGTGATAAGAAATGTAATTAATATTGATGCAGGATTCATCTTAAGCTTCTTAAAACTGATTAATAAAACCACATTTGACTAAATATTAATTGGAAATTGAAGGAGGCTCCTTTTTCTTTCTTTCTTTTCTTTTATTCATTCAGTTCTTCAGATATAAAACAATTGACACTGAAGAACAAAATAGTACCTCATTCTTTTTAACTGTAAAAGAAGTTAAGCATTTGTATGATGTTTTGGTTAAATGTATAAAAGAAACCTATCCAGGATTTTAAAACTGTCTCCCATTCCCTGGTCAAGCTTTCTTTATTTAGTTTAGCTGGTGTCTTTGTGGTGGACTGTTTTTTGTTGGTTTGTTTGTTCCTCACGTGTTTTGAACTGAAAGCACAGCATTGATGATTTTGGCTCCCAGACTATGACAAGATGTTCAAGCTGAGCGAGAAGATCCTGCTGCTCTGTGTGGGAGAGGCCGGAGACACTGTGCAGTTTGCAGAGTACATCCAGAAGAACGTCCAGCTCTACAAAATGAGGAACGGTAAGACGCAGCTCAGAGATCTACGGGGTGGGGGGGGGGAGCCCAGAGTCTGACGTCATTTCTTCTCCTGATTTTTAAGGATATGAACTGAGTCCGGCGGCAGCAGCAAACTTCACACGGAAGAACCTGGCAGACTACCTACGGAGCAGGGTAACCGCCTCAGGATGGAAGTCCTGCTTTCAGTAGCTGCTCCATGTAGTAAACAGACGGTTTAGACTGTGAAGCAAAGGCAGCCATGGTTGGTAATGACACACCAGAGCGGCCGCGTTCAGCCGGGTTTCCTCCAAATGAGGATCAAACCTGGAAATTAAAGCCGAGGAAGAGCAGCCGAGCAGACTTTGAGTGTCTGAATTTAAATAGATGCTGATAACAGAATCGGGGGCTCAGCCGGCTGTTCTGGGATCTGCTTAGTGCTTCTTACTCACCTCTATCTTGGTCACTTCACAGTTAAGCCTGTTCTTCCAGAGTAATGAGCGAACAGCCTTATAAATATTGTAATTTCTGGTTTGAATTAATTACATCCCACAGCCAGGACCTGCAATCTCATTTCGCTTAAGGGAACAAATGATAAAATCACCAACTAATTTCAGAGGGTTTAAGTAAGAAGAACCACATGTGGAGGGTTGTAGAAGCAATTTAATTAGCAGAGGTTCAGTTTCTGCTCAAGACTCGTTTTAGCTGCAAGTGAAAATAAAAACACTAATGGAGGCCCTCAGTCAAGGAGGGGGGGGGGGTTCCTGAAGGCTCTTTTTCCCGTTCTGCTTTAAAAAACAGAACCTGAGAGCAGAGAGCTCTGCTGGATGCATCCAGAACCCCAAGTTCTGATCTGGATCCAGAGTTCTGCGTCAGCTTTCTGGATCAGCTGGGGGCTCTGATAGGGTTTATGGGTCAGAACAGAAACCCAGAACCAGCAGAACCAGTGATGGAGCAGCTTTCTGCTCCTCTGCGGCTGGACGCTCAAAATGGAGGATAACCACATGTGAAGCTCTGCTTCTGTCTGGCTAAATCCTGGTTCAGACGTGGGCTGCTGGGAGTCTTTGGTGTGATTAAGTCGTCTGTCGGTGTGCGTCATGTATCTGCTGCTCTAATTTGTTAAGAGCAGTGCAGCCGCAGCCTGTCACAACAGCACAGGCTGAAAATAATTACAAAAAACAATTAGTGTGTGTGAGGAGGGAATGTGGGACACATGGAGGGGGCAGAGGAGGAGGAGGAGGTCCCAGGGGGCCGGGCCCCCGGGGGCCGAGCCCCTAGGGGCCCGGGCTGACTGGCTGTGTGGGAAGCAGTCGCAGGGCCTGTAGGATCAGGAGGCTGGGAGCACATCATTGATATTCATGCTCCTCGTTTCTGTGCCTGTCGGTGATGCATGTGGAGAGCGGCGCTGCGTCTCAGGAGCTCTGGGAAAGCGAGGCAGGAGCAGTTTGTGCTGCTTCCCACTCCGTCCTGCAGCTACGCTGCTCTCAGGCAGCCGGCTGGAAACAGATCTGAGCCCCACAACCAGTGGAGACTATCTGAGCCTCAGACCAGACCTGACTCACACCATGTTTAGCATTTATAATGCCTGATCAGGTCTTTTTTTTTTGGCTGAAATCAGCATGTTGGCAGGCCAGCTAACAGCCGCCATCCATTTCCCTCCTGCTCCCTCGTTTCTGGGATACGTCTTGAATGATTCCCCAGATTTATCACAAAGGTGAAACATCTCAGGCTCAGTTGTCCATGATGTTGAATTGGTGCTGATAAAATCACTTTGAGACCCGAGTTTGGTTTATGTTAGCTCCTGGAGTGGCTGCAGATGGATTTTATGTAGTTTTTTTTTCAGTCTTTAGAAGCAGAAATGTGTTGTCATCCAGCTCAAAGTGGCTGTTTTTCTAAAGCAGGGAGTCTAAAAGGATCCACAGCTCTGAGTTCCAGCTTTTAGTCGACTGGTTTCAGCACATCAGCTTAAAGTTTCCTTCATTTCTGGATGCTGGAACAGAGCTGATTTACAGGAAATGAAGCCTCATTCTGGAGGAAAACCAGCAAAACTCAGCTTTCTGGACTCTAGTTTGGACCAGAGGTTCAGACAGGTTCATGTCAGAGTTAAAGAGCCCCGTGCCCCCCGTCCACTGCCCAGGCTGCTTGTTGTCAGGGTGACCCGGGGCTGCTGCCCTCCGGGGGCCGCTGCCCTCTGGGGGCTGTAGTCAGGTGAAGGATGCTGCTCACATACCAGCCGCATTCACAACAACAACCGTCCCTCTGGAGGGCTGCAGACGGTGGAGCGGCAGAGCCAGCAGCCACCAGCTGAGCCTCCGGGCTGCTGCCTGGGCTCCCTGATGGAGCCAAACAGGCAGAGGTGGAGGGACGCTCGCCCCGCTAATGTTTGTTCAAAGCCCCCGAGGTCAGGCCCCCACTGCCCGAGGCCACAGGGGACGAATGTGGCTGTGTGGATCCACATTTGTTAGGACTGCATGGGGACCCTAACCTGGGACCCTGTCCCTAACCTGGGACCCTAACCTGGGAACCTGTCCTTATCCTGGGACCCTGTCCCTAACCTGGAACTCTGTCCCTAACCTGGTACTCTGTCCCTAACCTGGTACTCTTACCCTAACCTGGGACCCTGACCAGGTACCCTGTCCCAACCTAAGACCCTGGTGTGGGACAGGGTACTGTGGGGGTCTCAGAAAAAGGGGTACTAAGCTGGAAACATACTGGGTTTGCCCCCTGTGACTAGGCCTGATGGTTCTGGTCTGGTTCAGCCGTCTGGGATCTTTGGGATGCTGAGAGTTAGTCTCCCATCAGCCTCATTTCCACACACTGTTGTGTTGGCTGTCAGCCTCCAAACAGCCCTGTGCTGCCTGATCCCAACCAGAGAGGGGGGGGCTCTGCCAGGAGCAGAGGCTTTGTTTGGCTGGCTGTGAGTGGGACTCCCTGTGGGGGGGTTAACATATGCGTGGTGTTGGGGGGGGGGGGGGGGGTGTGAGTACAGGTGGCAGCTTAACAAGGTGCTGGTTTTCCTCGGAGGCGACTCGGGAGGCAAAGGTTATTTTGATGCCAGGGCCGTGTAGTTGTCAGTGTAACCAGTGGGGGGGGGGGGG